ACATCAGGGGATATAGGGGGCCATGTGTCCCCTCAGATTTCTGTGCCAACAGTGGGGCACAGGGCTGCAGCCTGGCTGGACCAGCACCAGGTATGATTCACCTCTGTGGCCCAGCCGGCAGGACCCGGCATAGGAGGGTAGAGTGGGGTGGGGAGACTTGGTGCTGCCATTACTGCCACCACCACCAGGAGCCCCATATGCCAGCTGTACCACTGTAGCTCCCAAGGTGAAGCCCCCCCTGCCCAACTAGTTGCAGCAGGGGTGGCAGAGGTGCAGAGTTGTGCCTGGACCAGCCCTGCACCACTGGGGCAGGTGCCAAGCTCTGGAAAGCCCCACACACCTACCACCTGCCTCAGACACTGGAGCGCTGAAGTCTGGGGGCAGAGGGCAGCTGGAGGCCCCCTCTGGCAGGGCTGGGGGGAACAGGAGGTTGCGGGTTGAGAATGGGGGTACTGGCAGGACTGGGGGAGGGGGTGGCACCCTGGTGGTTGGCTGTGGGTCATGCTGCCAGGGCTGGAGCAGGGGGGAGGCTGGGCCAGAGCAGGGGAGTGCAGGTGACACTGCCAGAGCTGTGGGAGGGTCTGCGGGAAGAGCTGGCTGGGGGCAGGGCAGGGCAGGGGTGTGTGGGTGGGCAACTTGGGGCAGTATGCTGGCAGTGAGTTGGGGGTAGGCAGAGGCTGCAGGTTGGGATTGAGGGGCAACAGCCTATCAGGGCTGCTCAGCACCACAAAGCAGCAAGGTGGCAGCCATAACTGGACCCATGTCCTGGTGAGCAAAGGGGACAGTGGGAGCTCTGATTTTCCATGATAAATAAAGCAGAATCAAATGCCAAAATATATAGATATTTAGAATTTATTTTATTATAATGATTGAGGCACTGGTAGGCTTCCAAATTGCTTTTAAGTTGTAAATGTATCTATAAAACATTGTGTTCAGCTGATGTGTATATATACACACATACATACACACACCCATACATACATACACATATACATATCTATATACAGACATATCTATATCTATATACAGAGAGAGAGAGAGAGAGAGAGAGAGAGAGAGAAAGAGAGAGATAGTGGCATTTCATTTTAATCATGGAAAATGTGGATTTGGGGTTTTTTTAATTAGAGAATTTTGGATCTTTTAACAGAGAAAATCCCTAGTTATTACTTGCCTCTGCTGTTTCTCCTTTTCATTTTAATAGCAGTCTGCAGCCACTACTAGCAATTCTCCTCACACCAGAGCTCCAAATGTCATCTCAAAGGGGATATATTTTGAACACATCTCACCATCTCCAAGCTCACCCAAGACTGGGAAGAGCTGGTGGGAATGGAATTCTAAAATCAAGCAGAAAGTAGTATGTTATCATTGATGGCATGAAGACCACAATTTGAACAGCAACTACTTGGCTCTTTACTTTATGACCTTGTGAAGACAAAGGACAGAGGTACTATCATTACCTAAATGCCTGATTAAGCTATGTTGGGGGAAAAAGGACTGAGAAGATGACATACATTTAGAGACCTCTTGAGAACATCAGAGAGGAAAAGGAATATGTGGTAGCAAGGGTAAACAGTGTTTGAGAAGGGAGGGCAGGAAAAGGCCACACAGGCAAAGCTGATAAGCTTGAGGCTGTGGCAAACAGTCCACCTACAGAACATAGTATCTTGGTGGTCTAGGACCTGTAAGGACCATGCATCCCTCACCCCAGTCTTCTGCCTCTGAAACATCTACAAGGTAGGACACATCTTTCAGTGCAAGAGGGCTCAGAAACAGGCCCTATTCCATTTCCTACATGCCCCAGGATAGTAGTTTTCATCAGGTTCAATAAAGATAGAAATGCATGAATAAGAAGAACTAAATTTTTTTTTTTTTTTTTTTTTTTAAGAGGATAGGCAAGCCTTTTTTCCCCCTCG